AAAAAAAAAAAAAAAAAAAAAAAAAAAAAAAAAAAAAAAAAAAAAAAAAAAAAAAAAAGAAATAAAAGACCCTTTAAGTGGTCATTGATTTCGCCAGAGCAGATTCAAGGACCTACTGTATACCCACTACTTATATTACCAACTACCTGCACCGAGTATAGGTACGTACACACATGTGTTGTATACACGTATAGGTGCACGGCGGAATCGCAATCGTCGGATCGAGTCTTACACCCGTGACTATATACAACTACCTGTAATATGGGTGAACGGCATTCCGGAGCTGCTCAGCGGCACCGGGGCCGGCTACAACCGGTCGTTCGCTCGCTTCGCTGATATTACGCCGGCAACGTCGATTGTCGTATCTCGTCTTTTTATTCGCTTGGTGTATATTTTCTTGTACCCCCGGGCTCGAGTGTACAGTATACATATGACGCGGCAAAGGAGCCCGGTGTTCGCAAGGGATCGCCACAAGAGGATTATTGTAATGCTTGCCGACGAGCGCGTGTGCATATACGTTGGAGGTGATGATTATGTATTTTATGGCCTTTTTTTTTTTTTTCTTTTTTTCTTTTTTTTTAACGCGAGTCATTGTGCAATTAAATGTAGAACTATTGACGCGTGAATCCGATACGTTTATGGTTGAGACATTTTTTAATCAACGACACTAATGAGTACACGTACATTCGCGATCGCGTAAATCTTGATTTTAATGGACTCGAGGACTTTTTTTTTTTTTTTTTAATTGATACAGAGAGGAGCTAAGGATCCGTTGCTTTCTCTGAACGCTGTTCCTGTGACCCGAGAAAAAGGTGATTTATTTTTAAACGATTCGCAAGAGCAAAAATCGTTTCTTCAAGTATATATTATGTACTTGATTCGATGAATTGAATTAAAAACGTTTTTGACATCAAGTAGAGTAGAACATTATGCCACGAAAACAAACACGAAAGCACCCGCGCGGTCTTGGCTCATCGTGCCCCATGCACAGGTTGTTGAAAAATAAACCGCAGAGTCTCGTTCCGTGCCCTTCACCAGCCTTGACAACGACAATTGCACGCGCGACAGTACTCTCGCAAGGAATAAATAAAGGTGTCGTTGTAAGTAAAGGTACGAGCGAAGGTCTGCTCGAACCGGTTGGGCTGCAGGGATAAACGTACATATACACACGTGCTCCAATGCGTCGGCGAAAATTACGATCGTCCCGAGCCTGCATCCGCAGAGATTTTTCAATGCCACGGTCTCGAGAGCCCATCGTGTATACGTATATAATATATAACGTGTGTATGTGTGTGTGTGTGTGAGTCAGGGTACGTATATACATAGGTATTAGATAATACGCGCGTGGTGCAGAAACGCGGAACTTGTTCTAGAGATGCGAAAAGATACAGAGGCAACCGGTCGCTCCGTGGGATGGAGTTCGCACGAGGTACGCGGAAGCTGCGCTCGTACATGATGGCACGGATATGCTTGTGTACACCTCGAGAAATACCGATTTAAGGGCGATCGTTAAGGTTGCCTCGTGTGTGTGTGTGTACATGTCGATGGAATCGGGTGTACTTGCGGCTCGTGAAAGCAAAGGGTTTAGCGGAAAACACCTCCCGGATCTCTTGCAGTCGAGTTTTTGCCACCAGTAATTCATCTCTGCTCGCGTTATGCGCCTACCACTAATCACCCGTTTAATGTGCGTGCAGGCCGAGGAAAGAGAGAAAAAGAGAAATAAAAAATCACACCGTCCAAACTGCATAGGCACACAATTGACGAAACAAAAAACTCCGGCGGTTAAAGATATTTTTAAAACCCCATGTGGACCCGTTGATTCCTTTGTAAGGCAAATCGTTAAGCCGTGAAATTTTTATAGTTGCGAGGAAAAAAAAACAAAAAAACGAAAAAAACAATTTTTCCTGGCTCTCCTTGACAACTCCAAGCCCAGTGAGTGTAGGTACATTTGGTCTACAGGATCCAAGCGCTCCTTTTGACATCACCTTCGCAAGAAAGCGAAGCTTATCACACAGATCCAAGTAATGGTTCAAAATAACGATGAAATTTCGCAAACGGAGCATATGAAAAACGATGACATACATTTATACTTGCATAAATAATCTTCTTTAAACCTCGGCCCGCGGGTGCTGATTGAAGATTCCTTTTTTCTTTTTTTTTTTTTTTTTTTTTTTTTTTTTTTTTTTTTTTTTTTTTTTTTTTTTTTTTTTTTTTCCATCATTATTATTATGGCTCAAAGTATAACGTATATATACCATCAGTTCTCGTTCCGTAGAAAGGCTTCGTAATAAAAAAATAACGCGCGTGTTGCAGACGGTGAAGGCCTTCCTGCCGGCTATGCTTAAGGCGAACAAGGGCCACATCGTGAGCATAGCCAGCGTAGCGGGCCACGTCGGGTGTCCCAAGCTCGTCGACTACACGGCCTCCAAGTTCGCTGCGGTTGGCTTTGACGAGGCCCTTCGCGTCGAGCTCGAGGTAAGCTACCATATACATGGGTCACTGTCGTCCTTGTGATCACTGTTGTTACCCGAGGATACAAACATACAGCTGTTGCTCGCTTTTGCTTATGTTTGCTTTGTACCTGAGATCTTTGGTCGGGCCATTTTGTGCATTTAACGAGCGGCAGTTTACACTATGCACTTGTACCCAATTATACCATATCCAAATATCAACGGCTGTGTGTTGCTTGGGAATTGTATTTCGGGTTTTAAAGCGATTGGTTATTGATAGAAGCTTTTTTTTTTGTTTCAGACCGACGGCTACAACAACATCAAAACAACTGCCATCTGTCCGTACTTCATACGTAGCACAGGGATGTTCGACAGCGTGATGGCCAGGTAAGAGATTTTTTATTTCTCGGGTGCATGGCTCTTGTGTGAATTTTATTTTTTTTCCAAGCTAGTATAGCGCGAGTGTCAAGCAAATTGTTAAGCTAAAGGTAAAGCGTTGAAACATAAATTATACGTTTGTTGCGAGTGTAAAATGCATTCTTTTTTTTTTCAGAATGGCCGGTCTATTAGAATTCAGGTAAATCCGTTTGGCAAAGAGAGACGTCGCGAATCGTAAAGTATCATATTTTGAACCACAAGTTTTTTTTTTTTTTTTTTTCTCTTCCAACAATACTCGGCATGTACTTACCTTACATTTACATTCAAATCAGGTATTCAAAGGCTTTTTTATCTCTACTTTGTAAGTTAAACGATAAACGACTTTCAAGCATTTATCGGTGCATTTCATTACGTGTACATATGTATGGTAGGTGTAGGTGCGAAAATTTTTTTTTTTTCAACCGCAGTCCATACAATTTCATTGTCAGTGTTCAACTCGTATACAAATCTAACGTCAACGAACGTATCACGCTCATGGACATCAGAATATTTATAGTTAACGTCGAATCATAATTGTCATTTTAAATGTAGTAGAATTTTTTATTTTTCATAAAATCACATGCTCTTTGATTAAAAAAAAAAACAAAAAAATCAAAATATTAAACAAATTAACACTTGGAACACGCATAAGGTTGTCATTAACTCGAATCATGGTATACATTAGGTTGGAAAAAAAGTCATTTAATGTGGACACATATCTACCGAAATTGTAATTTTGTTAACGAAAGAGAAAAAAATAAATAAATGTAATTTCAGATACATTCCTACTCTGACTCCCGAAGAAGTCGCGAATCGCGTGATCGAAGCGATGCGGTGCAACGAGAGAATCGCCTTCATTCCAGGATACTTCAAGGCACTGATAATCGCAAGAATGTAAGTTGGCAATGGATAATTTGAACGAAACCCTACATTACCTGTTCGAGTTTTTCCTGTAAAGTAACAAAATATACTTGCACGTCGCACAGGCTATTCCCGTGGAAGTGCTCGACTATGCTGATGAACGGCCTCGTCTCGGACGTGTCGCCACCGCTCGATCTCTCAAACACCATGACCCCCAAGATCGAGAACCTCAACGGCAAAGAGCTGACCAACGGCACTGCCGTCCATCAGCAGCTTGCCCGGCGCGTCTCCAACTCCGAGAGAAAGCCCTAACTCGACCTGCGCTTCCCCATTTCTTCTTTTTCTCGTAAGCGCACTTGTCTTTTTGTCAATGATGGGTTATTGGCCCCGACCTCCGTACATTGTCGCGCTTGGCGATCATTTATGATGTTTTTTTCTAAAGAAGAAGAAGAAAAACGAAAAAAAAAAAAAAAAAAAAAGGAGGATAAAAAAGCAATTATCGGGTGAACAGGGTTTTTTGTGTACGCGATGTATACAAACTTATATTTTTGTATGAATACGACTGGAGGGATACCGATACATAATTTTTAAAAGATAGACGGGGAAAAATGATATTTCACCGTCAGCTGGGAAATATGCAATCAATCGAATCCATGATTATACATGTTATATTCGTGTCCTTCGGTATATTCGACCCCGTATCCTGATAAGGTATTACGATTATTTGTAAATTACTAAGTTTCGGGCTCTACTTTTTTAATGCGTAAGTATACAGGTAGTTGCGATGAGCACGAGTAAGCTGTGTTTATTTTAAGGATAATAAATACGGAGTTTTAAAAAAGAAAGAAAACAAAAAAAAAACAAGAATTTTTCGAGTTTACTTTTGGGTCCAAAAGTGCCATTCTGTTCGCCTTCGAATGATGATGCATACGCGTTTGCTGCAGTTGAGTCGCTGGACGACGAACTAGCTAAATTTGTCAACGGATTTATCGTCTGTTTGAATTACCAATTGTTTGCGGGTGAATTTTTATTTTCCAAAACTTGAAAAGATTGATGCATTTGAAAGTTTTGGTTTACTTATTTTCTAACTATTCGATTATTTGCGAAATTGACCTAAGTAACAGTAGTAGTAAATTACAAACTGAATTTAAGTCGGGAGACATATTATTATTGTGTAAGAATTTGAAGTACAATCAATTGTCCGCGAGGGCACAGAAAGAGCGAATTAATCGTACTATTATTAATTTTTAATGGAATTCCATTGATAAACTCTGGTAAGTTAAAAACCTAGCTTTTACGTATACAATACTTACTCTTGTAAACTTATGCACAATAATTGTTACTTTTTTTTTTTTACTTTATGTGAGTGTACTTACGTAAACGATCGAAATAACTTTCAAGTAAATTTAACTGGAATCCCAGATGTTGTTCTCAGGTGAGAAAACGATCTCCTATGAAGAAACAATTGATAAATAATTAGTTCAACATTGCCAAGAATCACATAATATAATGTATTTTTGTGTAGAGATGTTATAACTGTGTACAAAATGTGAATAAATAATCATACGACATGTCATAAGAAATAATTGCCAAGTACCTGTTTGTTTGCCGATAATTTTCCCAGCCAGGAATGCCCCAGGGTGTCGGTAAAAATTTGTTCAGCCACGGGCTCGTTGTTCTGCCAAACGGCGCTCAAGGAACTGCCGTCCGGAAATTTGTAAGTACCTCGGCCGCTCATTTTACCCTCGTTATTAACTTCCCCTCTGTATTCGGCTTCATTGTCATACCTTGGAAATCAACACCAACATATAGGAGACATATGTAAAGAAAATCTTTGTTATTGAACATGAAAGAGAAATATCATAAATTAATTGGTCCAACTCACGATATCATAACTTTTGAACCAACGCGGTCTCTGTCCCACACAGTTTGATACTTGTCCCCATCGCTAGTTTGATAAATTCCATATTCTATCCTTGTCAAATAGGTACTTGGTAATACATGATTGTTATTAAAAAAAAAGAAAAAAAAAACAACTTTTATTTTATACCAGGTGTTACCTAACCTTGCCTATAGATATCCTTGTTAACAACAACGTAACTTCCTTCGTAAATATCTCCATTTGTAAAGTGGAATACTCCTTTTCCATTTTTAATGCTTGTTGTTTTTACTAATGGTTTCGATTTTTTGACCTTAGCTTTGTTCATGCTATTATTGTTTAACTTAAAAAAAATGTATTGGCCAAACTATTGCAAAATCTTGGATGCCGTAAAGTTAAAAATTTTTTTCTTGTGACGAAAAAAAAGATTAGTGTATTCCAATTTTTATGTTAAGTTGTATGTAATTACTTTTCATTTAACTGTGTATCAGGGTACATTACATACATATTTGTTTGAGGTCATTATATCATGTGTTTAAAAAAACTGTACGTCTTTGTTTAATAAAAAAGACATGTTACTGATAAAATGACAACTTTGTCTCGTCGTCGTTTGTCTCATCGTCTGCTCTAAACATTCAATTTAGAGTCAGCGCCATCTCGCGCGGCTAATTCCGAACTAAAAAGTACCCCTAATTCCCCGCCAGACTGCGCTAGTGGTAGATGATACTACCTTCTTGCAAAAAAATGCTAATTCAACGTTTCAGATATTCTGGTCCATCTGTGAATATAACAGGTTATGGTTAATGAATGTATGCAATTTTTAATGTATTACACCGACAAATTCACGTTCGTACGATCACAAATTTTGGTAAGCTTCGGTCTCGAATGAAACCGAGCGACATGAAATGGCAACGAACTGCGAGTTAATTGTATATGATAATATCTAGGACTTAATGAATTCAAAGAATAAAATTTACTCAAATAGCAATGAGAATTTCTTACAGATAGTGCGGTACGTTGAAAAGTAATTTTTGGCCCTGAAAAGGGCCGGTTGTTTTGATGTGTTAAATTTTCCCAGGTACTTCACTTCTTGGCTAATTTCGGCTTTGCTACTTTGGCAGTTGCCGGCAACTTCTTCGTTTTCGCAGATTTCACTAGTTTATTAGCTTTTGGTTTGGCAAGCGACTTGTTGATAGACTTTCCAGTTCTTTTCTTGGTGACCTTCCCACCAGATTTGGTCGCAATTGACTTCGCGGCACTTTTTTGGACCTTTTTACCACCAGATTTGGTCGCTATTGACTTTGCGGCACTTTTCTTGACCTTTTTACCATCTGGTTTGGTCGCTGTTGACTTCGCGGCATTTTTCTCGACCTTTTTGACATCTGGTTTGATCGCAACAGGCTTCTTTGGTTTCTGATCTACACTAGATTTTCCTCCTACCTTGAAGCGACCGGACGCGCCAACACCACTGGTTTGAACGATGGTCTTCTTCTCGACGGAGTTTCTTAAGTACTTCTTGATGAAGGGCGCCAACTTTTTGGCATCCACTACATACGTCGCGGCGATGTACTTCTTGATGGCGTGGAGCGACGAGCCTTTCTTCTCGTTCAGGGTTTTGATGGCAGCGATTACCATTTCACTGGTTGCCGGATGAGGAGACTTCTGGGGCGCCATCTTCGAGGATTTCTTAGCAGAAGCTGCAGTCATTGTAAGCACTGAATGTGGCGATAACGTCTATTCACTTCGATAGTCGACCGTAAACTAATGGCAAGTATTATCGTCGCTAACTGTAAACTGTGGTGAACCCAACGAAAATGCAGTTCTTAACGTGGAGGGGGAATGAGCTCAACATTCGTATTGTTAAAATTGGTTGAATGCAAGTTAATGTAAGTACAGAAACGGAACTCCTTTCGTAAGACATTTGATGGCCCTGAAAAGGGCCGATTGGTTTTTCGTTGGGAATCTACTTGGAACTGGTGTACTTGGTCACTGCCTTGGTGCCTTCGGAGACGGCATGTTTGGCAAGTTCACCGGGAAGCAGAAGCCTCACTGCCGTCTGGATCTCCCGGGATGTGATGGTCGACCTCTTGTTGTAGTGTGCCAAGCGAGAGGCTTCCGTGGCGATGCGCTCAAAGATGTCGTTGACGAAGCTGTTCATGATGGACATGGCCTTGGAGGATACCCCGGTGTCCGGGTGCACCTGCTTCAAGACCTTGTAGATGTAGATGCCGTAACTTTCCTTCCTCTTCTTGGAGCGCTTTTTCTTGTCTCCCTTGGAAATGTTCTTCATTGCTTTGGCGCTTTTCTTCTCCACTGGGGTAGTTGTTTTCGGGGCCATTGTAAATTGATCGAGTCGGAACGTGTTACCAGTTCAAGAATGTGACGAAAACTGATAGGGGTAGCAATTTTTTTTGCCTCTGGCGATTCCGTCAAGAGCATCTACTCCGAACCAATGAGAGTATAGCTCGATCAGGTGGTGGGGGCAAGAAATTCGTTTATTGGTTGAGCGCGCGTGACAGCGATTTCCCCCTCCACGTGAGTCCATATCCCCACTTGGGACAACTTCACTCTGATTGGTTCGGAGTAACTGCGCTTGTACAAGATCGAAAAAAACATCCCGAATCAAAAAGCTGTCAATGAAGTAGTATACGGTTGACCTTCTAGTGATCAAGTTGTCAATCGATATAATCAATTTCAAAATGAGCGGATTTGGACGCGGCAAAGCTGGTGCAGGAAAGGCCAAGGCGAAGCCAAAGACGCGCTTATCTCGAGCTGGACTTCACTTCCCAGTGGGACGCATCCAAAGGTTTTTGAGAAAAGGCAATTATGCCGAGCGAGTTGGTGCTGGTGCCCCAGTTTACCTCGCCGCAACCCTCGAATATTTGTCCGCGGAAATTCTGGAGTTGGCGGGAAATGCAGCTCGAGACAACAAGAAAACGAGGATAATACCTCGCCACCTCCAGCTGGCCATTCGCAACGACGAGGAACTCAACAAACTGCTTGCCGACGTGACGGTGTCCCAAGGAGGTGTTCTGCCCAATGTACAAGCCGTACTTTTGCCAAAGAGATCCGAGAAAAAAGAATTGAAGGAATAAACCGAAAACTTGTGCTACCAATCGGCCCTTTTCAGGGCCATCAAATTTATTATTGCGTAAATCTTTATTACATCTTAACGTAGGAATAATATTGTCTAGTCAAAGAATTCAGTACAATCACCTGTTCGCCGCAAATCTGAAATTATTATACAATTTAGTATCTGATAATTTGACAATCGACAAGTAGCGTGAGCACACGAAATGTCACGTGACCTTGCAGACGCAATGAACGCAGACTTCGCAAAAAAAAAAATAAAACAATTGCGACTGTTTTTTTAGTTAGTGTGAGAGAAATCGTATGTATATTATATAACCGTGTCAGTGAAAACGTGCTCATAAATAATCAAGGGTATGTTCCGCAAAGGCATCAACGGCGACGTCATGATGGCACCTCATCTAGTGCTGTCATGTCGTGTGTAATGTAACCTACTTAACCCTCTTTTTTCGCTCTCTTCTCATCACAGCCAGCAACTATATACTTCACAGATGATCAATTGATCTGATTGATCAGCAGTTAGCTTAGCGCCCCCCATCCCATCCCTGCGCGAGAGAGGTACACACGTAGCAGACAACATAACAGGGGTTTGATTTGGCAACGAGATCGAGGAGGAGGCAATAACTCTTGGGGGCACCCAGAGAACGACCGAAGGGAGCGAAAAAAACGAGGACGATGCTGAGGACGACGACGATGTGTTTACGCCATGAGCTGGCGAAGGTGACGGCTGTACGCAACGTAGCTCGGAGCAGTGCCGTCAGGTGTCTGAGCACCCAATGTCTTTACAGGAGACACCAGCAGAGGTGAAAAAACGACTACTTTTTATTTATTTGCTTTTCTATATTTATTTTTTTGTTACCAATATTGGAGTTCTTTTATTTCGATATTGACTTTGTCACTCCTACCAAACTACAGGTTAGGACTATCTGCTCCAAAATCATCGTTGTAAGTGTATTTTCCAACTTTACCTAGGTTATTTTAGTTTGACCTCTATGAGTTTTGCGTGAATTTATTAATGGGAGTAGAATGATGATAGACAGTAGCAGTTCTTGATGATTATATTCCATCAAACAAACCTGTAGATATCTGAGTATTAGGATTCTAGAAGTATGTGTCAGTTGTTGAGTAAAGATTAAACATCGTCATTTTGGCGTTTTTGAATTCTGATGTTTTCTTAAACATTTATTGTTTATTATACATCAGTTGTCATTTATGAACTTATACATTTATTTATTTTTAGTCCTTTTTATCTTTAAAACACCATATTTTCCCATATTTTGAATTATAAATCATAATTATTACAATTGGTTTATCAGTACTTCCAACATCATTGTAAACATTAACGCAAGCTTTAAACTTATTAATCTAATTGAAACGTAAAATTATGTAATAAAATATCAGCCGTGCTGTTGTTTCAAATAATGCATTATGTGTTTTATTTAACTGTAAGAAATTTTTTTTGAATGAGGTAAATCATTTACTTTTATTTGCAGGCCACTGCTTCACGGCAACTCAAGATTAGTGGTACAGCCATGGGAACAAAATTTAAGATACTATTCAGATTACCCAGAACACATAAGGGTACCATTACCTGCTCTATCACCCACAATGGAAACAGGAACTATAATCTCTTGGCAGAAAAAAGAAGGTTGGTGCTTTTGGTTCAAGTACCGTTAATAGTGTACATTATCAACCATTATTAAGTGAATCCAACTTTTAGGTGATAAACTCAACGAGGGCGACCTGTTGGCTGAAATCGAGACGGACAAAGCTACCATGGGCTTTGAGACGCCAGAAGAAGGCTATCTAGCTAAGATCCTCTTACCTGCGGGTTCAAAAAATGTTAAAATTGGCCAGCTCGTGTGCATTATTGTCGCTGATGAAGCTAGTGTCTCTGCCTTCAAAGATTTTAAGGATGACGGATCAGGTGCTGCGGCCGCGGCTCCAGCTCCCTCGACTTCGGCACCTCCACCTGCAACCCCTGCACCACCACCTCCAACAGCAGCTGCCCCACCTTCGTCACGTCCAGCCATGGCTGCTCCAGCTGGCGATCGTGTGTTTGCCAGCCCGATGGCTAGGCGTCTCGCTGCCGAGCAGGGTCTAAGTTTACAGGTCGGCTGGTGGTTTATCTTTTCATTTTAGTATACTATTCTGTACATTAGTTTTACAACGAAAAAAAAAAATCATCGTCCAGGGTTTGAAGGGTTCTGGCTTGTACGCTTCGGTTACATCAAAAGATCTGGGAGGTGCAGCTGTGGCTAGAGGGCCTGCAACCACCAGCGGGGCGGTCGCTGGAGGTCAGGATATTCCCATTTCGAATGTCCGAGGTGTCATTGCCAAGAGACTACTTGAAAGCAAACAGACGATACCGCACTATTATCTTACCATTGAAGTTAGAATGGATGAGGCGCTGGCCTTGAGGCAGAACTTTAATAAACTTTTGGAAAAAGATAAAGTCAAAGTTAGCGTTAATGATTTTATCATTAAAGGCATGGCGATGGCGTGTAAAAAAGTTCCTGAAGGTAACAGCTCTTGGTTGGGAGACAAAATTAGGCAGTGAGTAACAGTAAATTAAATTCACAACATTTATTTTAAGTTTTTCAGCATATTTTATGACATTTCAGGTATGACCACGTAGATGTTAGTGTAGCAGTTAGCACTGAAAATGGACTAATCACGCCTATCGTTTTTGGTGCGGACGTCAAAGGCATTGTTCAGATCAGCAATGAAGTTAAAGCACTAGCGGCCAAAGCTAGGGAAGGCAAACTACAACCCCAAGAATTTCAAGGTGGTACCATAACGGTCTCGAATCTTGGCATGTTCGGAATCAAAAACTTCTCTGCGATTATCAATCCACCACAGTCCATTATTCTCGCAGTGGGAACGACAGAAACGAGATTGATACCGGCTAACAACGAAAAAGGGTAAATTTTGTATTTTAAAAATTATAAATTTTCAAATCAAAGTCTATAACTTACGACTTTAATCTTTTCAGTTTTAATACTGCTCAGTTTATGAGCGTAACTGCCAGTTGTGATCATCGCACAGTCGATGGAGCAGTTGGAGCACAATGGCTCACAGCTTTCAAGAATTTCTTGGAAAATCCAACGACTATGCTTCTTTAGTAAGTCTTCGTTTGTCAAAATAATAAATTTGCCGAATGTCAACCTTTATATCGCGCTAAAACGTAACTACTATTCTAAAAAAAAAAAATTCCTTTTTTAGAACAAAATTCACGCCTTAAAGGAATCCGTGGTGCAAGAAAAAACCGTGAAGCATTTCTTGCGTACTTCTTTGTTTTGACGTGATGTTAATATATAAAGGCAGAGAAATAAATGCTAATTAGTCCCGAGAAAGTAGTAGCTTGACAATTTCAGCGTTGACGTTGAAAACGTGCCATCACCTCAATCAACGGGCAGTTCACTTGGCATGATTGTAAATACGCGATTGAATCTAAAATAAAAATTATTCAGACGCCTGCAACGATAATTCGCAGTGTCACCACCATTGAAACTTTTATGAAATGGAGATCAAATGAGGCGTAACAGTTATTCGTTACTAGTTGATAATTATGTATACATGTACAATTATTTAATAAATTATATTAAATTACGCCTCAAACATAAAATATTTATTTGAATACTCTTAAACTATGCTCATTTATAAAGATGAATGTCACAATACTATTTTACAAAAAATTATATTATGAAAAATCAGGGTCATACAATCTTTAACCTTCGATTTCACCCATGTAAATTTGTTTGTCACTTGAGCCAGAGCACACTGAAAGTAAATATTGTATATATTAGTGATTACTTTTTAAGAGTAATAATAGTGAGATATTGGTATAATATTACCTATTGGTTCTTTAGGATGAAAGTCAACGTCATTAATAGATCCATTGTGACCAGGGAGCTTATACAATATTCTCCGACTAGTTGTGTCCCAAATATAATGATATCTATCGGAGGAACCCGCTGATACTTTGCTTCCATCAGGATACCAAGCACATCTCAGTAAATTCTTCTCAAAATTATGTTGATGTCCGGAAAAAATTTTCATACATCTCGTGTCGTAAGGTACATATGGTCTGATATCCCATATTCTCAAAGTGTTATCCATAGCATTAGATAGGATGTAGGACCCATCTGGACTCAAACTTAATCCTGTGACGGTATCGGTGTGGCCTTTCATTATATATAAAATTGCATTTTTTCTCAAATCCCATACTTTGATATCATTATCGATTCCTCCACTAATAACTTGCTCAGCAGTGTCATTGAATGATACAGTAGTAACCTGAATCATGTGGTAAATTTAAAATCCATCACCCTTAAATGCATTACTATTTACTATTTGTTTACAAGAAGTAATAAGTTTTACCTGGTAAGTATTATTTAAAGTATGACACTGTCCTTTCTTTCTAGGATCCCAGATCTTAATAGTGCTGTCATCACTTCCAGAACAAAGCTGTAGCACACCTCTTCTGGTACCATTAACAGAATTTACGAATGCAGAATGCCCTTTTAATTTTTTTACCCTCACTCCTGCTGCCATATCCCACAGACCCAATGTCATGTCTGTGCTTGCTGTGTATAAATTATTGCCATCAGGACTGAAGTGCATTTCCATCACAGCACCACTATGGCCCGACATGACTGTGATATTTTCACATTCTCCGTATACATTCCAAAGAACTATAACAAACATTGGCAGATGTGTAGTTCATCCTACATTTTTCCAAACATTGTGTGACCATACCTTAAAATCTGGTTTTACAGTATTTGCATGGACTTACATATTTGTCTGTCAAACCCTGTTGAGGCAACATACTGCCCCTCAGGATGAAATTCCAATGAAAAAATATCTCCTTGATGTCCCTCCAATAGCATAATGGGAGAAGACAAGTTTGATGTTCTTGGTGGTCCCTACGAGCATTGAGATAATTGTAAGTTTGAGACCATATCTTGCAGTTATGGCAAAATAAAACTTACCTTTTTTTTTTTTTTTTTTTTTTTTTTTTAATATTTTCATGTGAATGGAAAAAGACTTAATAAATAAAACACAAAAATTAAGGTTAGACTTACACTCTGAACGACTGCTTTTTCCCTGCTGCTAAATACAACTTCATTTCTAGTTTTCTTCGACGCCGGTACTAGCGAGAGAATATCATCACCCTTTCTTTTATCGGCAATTGGCATTTTTGTAACTTATTTACAAAAATAATGTATCACTAGGTTTGACTGAATCACTCTAACAACAACTTTCCACAGATAAAATTATTGGAGTTATTTACACCAAAATCACATACTGTCATCAACACTAAGTCAAGAGTAGTATCGAAAAATAAAATGCACACAGTATTATGGTATATTTAAAAGTTACAAATGGTATATACTTAATGATGTAAACAGTCGAAGAAACACACGAAGCCGACAAGTTGGGACAGATTGAGAGTTGAGAGTTGGGATGGAGACTGTCGGTTCAGTCGGTGGAAAAGAAACAGATGAAGAGTACGGAAGCCCGGTCACGACATCTGCATAAAAACGCAGACTTAAGCATCCTAATTAAGCCCTAGAGCCATTTAATCAATTATAAACCAGCCGCAACTAATATTATATATGTAAAGTAAAAGTTTACGTTGTTTGCACTGTTGGCGGCAAGTTTACAATTTATCTTTTACCCGAAAGTATAAATATATAGTAGGTGGAAGATATTCAGGTAGAAGATAAATTGTAAACTTGCCGCAAACTGTACAGGCAATGCCAACTTTTAATTTGTCTGCTACAGTAATTGCGGCTGGTTTATAATTGACTAAATGGCTCTAAAGCCTAAACTGCCTAAAGCTCTCCTTCAGAATTTTAGGGCCACTTTTTAGTTCAGAAATCCGCAACGCTAGATGGCGCTGATCCAAATAATTATTACCATACTTACAGTAGAGCCATGTAATCGATTATAAACCAGTTAACCAGCCGCAACTAATTTTGTAGATAGAAGATAAAAAATTAACATTGTTTGTGCTGTTTGCGGCAAGTGCACAATTTATCTTTTATCCGAAAATCGACCTCCAAAAGTACAAATATACTCATACGTTTTTGTGCGCGCTTCTGCGTTTTTATGTAATGTCATGACCGGGCTTCTGTAAAAGAGAATAGAGAAACTTTCTTTTTAAGAAAGAGAGTCAGTAAGTCAGACCAGAAGTCAGACTGTCCTTACCTATCCTAAATCCTAACTTCTTAAGTTAATTTGAGTAAATTGAGCGAGCGATAAAAGGGAAGGAGGAGAGAAGAGGAGAATTTGTTTTTATTTTTTATTTCAATTTGTAAATTTTTGTTAAAACTAAGTTTTGTTTATTTACAATTGTTAAATTAATATGTGTGTGAATAGGAGGCTCTTTCAGTAATTCCAAACTTTCTGGAATTTTACGACAATACATTCGGGATACATATTTGTGCTTCGAAACGCTGCGATAACGCCACGATATTGTATACTTACATGTATATTATTTATAACAAAAAATTTTTGTAAACATTTTGTGTATTTTTGATAACATTTTTGCATTTTGAACAACCTTAACCCAATTCCTACCCTGTTTTGCGATAATTGCGCACAATTTTCAATTCGTACAGGTAAGTATTGTTTGCTGTAGTTCGAAGTTCGAATAACCCTCTCTCCCAAATTATTCTTCTGTTTTTCTCTCAAGAGTATATATAGGGTGTGTTAGACAAGTTGACAAGTAAGTATAGATGTATATCTGCGCACAAGTGCACAATAACAACAATAGCATACGTATAACCCTACTGACACTGACAGAACCGAGAGGTCAGTTAAAGAACTGAAGAGCTGCACGTCTAGTGTAGGTACATGCAGGTGTCTGGATTTAAAAGGTTGTCGTCATTCATGATTTGTATATTTTTTGTAATAAAGTTATTTTGTGATAAACCCCTCTAGTCGTTTGTTTAGAACCCAAATTCGTGTACGACGGACATAAGTATTGTTTTTTTAGAGAGCTACATCGTCCTCGAAATACTGTTTTGATACACGCGCGCGTACACCAAATCCTCCTTGTAAATAAGTTGATAAGTACTACCTAAGAGACGGAAAACACGTTTATTTTTCGTACGACTTTATAAGCTGTTGAGTGTTCAAGTGACAATATTTTTTTTAAATGTCTGCCTGGGCAAAGATTCAGACACCGCCAGAGCCAATTAGTTTTGATGAAATTACGTCTGAGCAGCTAGCCCAGAGCCTACAAGAGAAGTATGCTTGTTTAATGCAACTTTGTCTGCTTACACAGATTCTTACAATATTTTTGATGTTTATAATGTTCTCATTTTTGTTGCAGAGAAATTCAAAAGCATGTAGATTCCGTTGTTGAGAAAGTTCCTCCAGTCAATCCAGATAATGATGACGTTAATCTGATAGAGTTCGATCAAACTGAAAGCGATGCAGCTATTGCACACATGCTCCAGCACGAAATGAATGAAGAGTATGACCTAATGCTGAAACGGACCGAACAAAAGTTCAATCGCAATTCAAAGGGTTTGTTTTTTTATTCCATTGGTCATGATAAAATTTGCTTTTAATTCAAGAAATATTAATCCTAATCATTCAATAGTATTTATCTAATGATACTGTTATAATTTTACAGTTAATATCTCATACATGAACTACCGTGTTGGGATTGGAGAACCAGAGGAGCCAAAAAAGGTCAATGACGATGAAGAGGGTGACTTTGATCGTTTTGTGGTAAGTTGATTCTTTTGTTTAGGTAGGTCTATGGTCTATGTAATAATAAAAAAAGTTCTCCATGTAATTGTGTATCTTTTCTGCTTAGAGTGTCGAAAAAGAAATCGCATCAATACCTCGTTGTGGCTACAAGAAAGTTAGCGATGGTGACTCTTCGCAAATCGTCACAAAGCATGACATCCTCATGAGTTCGCGTCTGAACGCCTGTCGTGTCCTCGAGTTTCCTCCTGGAATTCAAACAGGTGACACAGGCGGCTTTGACATGAAGATCAACAATAATGTGTTCAATACTTTGCGTCGACACAGCCACGCGCACTCTTCCAGAGAGAAAGCTAAGGCACATCCTAAGCCGGACGCGAAAATCCACGGCTCTCCCAAAGCAGCTAACTGAGCAATGCTGTATTTTTTGTACAACTTTTCATGAAATTTATAGAGATGTATCTATATATACATTTGTTAAAAGATAGACAAATTGGGTTGTTCAGATACATTTTTTGATGAAGTTGTAATCATGCACAGTAAACTTTTTACTGTAAAAAAATAAAACTAATATTTAAAAAAGTCTTTATTGTTTAAAATTTAGTTTTTTTGTACATACACGTATACCCTATTATACTGCTTAAAAAACTTGCAATTTTAATAAGGAAAGTTCATTACAACAATAAATACTAACTGTTTAATAGTTTCTTATAAATATATTTTATAAATTTTAGTAAAACTACAAATTAACGTAGATCGCACAAGTTGGACTTTTAAAATATTTTACAAACTTAAAATTTATCAAGTTGCGCCATTATTTTATTAAAAATGATCGAGATAAAACTTAAAGCTATCCAACTTAATTTTGTCTAAGTACGTAACATAACAACGATTAATCCGTATTTTAATTTACCTTTGTACATCTGTCTTCACGTATTTACACTTTCTATTAGTACTAAGTGTCCATTGTAATCTTTGAAAAAGAAATCTGTTATTAGTTGATGATCAGAAGTACTTCTAAAATGCTTGTTATCTATGTTGATGGTGCTTAGCACAAAGCTTTGGTCGGAGGTTTAAGCGGAATTTGTCCCTTAACGAACTGAGCCAACTGAAACGCAGCCTTTTCTTCGTCCGTAAGATTCTCTTCTTGGCTGTAAGCTGTGTCGTCAATTGTTATCGACACAGCAAGTCCCAGGCTTGGCTTGGCAGTGAAATTACCAAATGGACCTGTCTGCGTTGATGAGGTCGTTCCAAAGGGTGAGGAAGTGTTTTGTTGTGGCTTTGCCATGAAAATATTACTACTGGAATTGCTTGCGTTTGTTATTGTTGGCGAGGCTCCAAACACTGAGCTGTTTGGCTGAGCGGTGCCGAAAGGACTCGAACTAAAAAGTGACTGAGTAGTCGTAGGTGCTGCTGCCGCTCCAAATACATTGGTAGTATGTGTTGCAGGTGACACAAAGCCAAAAGAAGAAGGAGGACCAAAAACATTTGAATTCGTTGATGCTGGCGCAGCGAACACCGATGTTGCTGTGAAACAGAATACATTTATTAAATCTCAATCATTCTTAAATCGACAATAAGCAAATCTTACCAGCAGTACCAAAGGGAGTAGCAGCTGTGGACGTTGGCTGCTGAGCAAAAGGTGATGCTGCAATAGGCTGAGCTTGCTGACTGAAGGGTGACACTGTAGCGGTTACGGGCTGTTGACTAAAGAGTGACGCATTAGGAGTAGCAGAAGCCTCGGCAAATACATTGGTTCCGGGATTGGTAGTGCTCGCCCCACCGAAAACATTGGCGCCCTGAGCAGCTATTGCTCCAAAACTCGTAGTACCTGCATTAGCTGCAGACCCACCAAAAACATTGGCTGAAGATGCGGTTCCACCACCGAATACCGACTGTGAACCAAAAGGCGTTTGGCTACCAAAGACTGAACCGCTATTAGCACCCTGATAAGTAGCAAAATAAATAAATAAATTATTCTTCTGTTTTTCTCT